TTTACTTAATGTAAAACTAAGAATATTATTCACTTTGAAGCCAGAGTCTTCAATCTACTTTTGGTGCCAACTTGGTCTAGGTGATCGTTGGAAAGAGTTGTTTATAATGTGTATATAAACAGGTTGACATTTTAAAAAACTCATATATCATTTGTCACATTATTAACTATGTTCCATATATTATACATCTATTTTTCATTATGTATTTGTCCAACTTAATTATCAAAACTTATTATACTATAATTATTATACCTTGTTAATTCGGAACATCATAATTTCTCTCACTTCTAATTAGATGAATTGTGCAAATCATTAATCAAATCAGATTTCTTAAATAATTATATCAAAATTAAGTATAGCGTAAAAATTACATGTTTTTTAAAATCTATCCATTACTTAAAATTTTGATCACAGAATCACATTCTATATTCTAATAAAAAAGATTCCTTAAAAAAATTTGCATAGGAGTCTATACACTAATCTTTAATTTTTACCTATTTCTAAATTCCTGCAACCTCTCTTTTAATATAATATTTTATGATATTAAAATATTACATATATCAAAATTGGTTCAATATTGAAGATATCTAATTCGCTCGCAATCAAATGAACACCATCCTATGAAAAAATTTCCCAAATCAAATATAATAATCAACATACCTTACAAACTATATCTTCAATATCTTCAAAAAAAATTTAATCATAACGACATCAAAAAATAACCCTAAACTTATCAAAAACATAACTTTGGCAAACCTAACTTTAAGAACCAAAAGTACCTCTATCAATTAAATTACAAAATCCATTGTAATATAAAAACCATAAAAAAAATTTAAAGTTTTTCAAAAATAACCAGTAACCCATAATATTAATTATACATTCCTTTCATATTGTAATAAAACAAAATATATTTTTTAATCATAATACTATATCAGAATATTGTAAATATAATATAATTTATTTTATACGATCAGAACCTAATTTCTAATCATCCAAAAAGAACTTGTAAGAAAATTAGTAAATCCTTTATTACATTAATTTACTCAATATAAAACATAATTTATTTTTTTTCATTAAATTTTTTTATATTCGATAAGTATAGAATCATTATTATTAGAAACACTTAACATAGTTTTAATTTAATCCCTCTTATTAATTAATCCATCCATAAGTACAATGTTTATTTATTAATAATAATAAAGGTTTTTAAAAAAACTACGTGTAATAAGCTAGTTTTTTAGTTAATCATTCGACAATCACTTAAAAATCTATCATAATAGACTTTTTTACGACACCACACATAGTGCACCGCACACGCATAATTGGTAGGGGGTAGGGTGAGTGAATAAACATGATTACATAATGACGTTATTTGCACATTTGATGTTATATATAAATATAAATATTTTTGATTACTCTTTGATACAATCTTCGTTTGATAGTCTTTGGTGCGATGGATAATGACACAGTTCTTTATACGACTGATGATAACCTTCCAGAAAAAATAACTAATAAGCTTACGTGTCCCGGTAATTTATATCTTGTTTAGTTTTTTTCGATTAAACAATGATTGATATAAGTAATAATATTTTGGTATGTTTCATATTATAGATTATTGGGTGATACGATACACGCATTGGGGAAATCTTGCAAGTTGGGAGATATCTTACTGTAAAATTCATCCAAATTCATCTATTATTGAATGCTATAATGCTTTAAAAGAAGATATATTTTCTTCCGCTGTTTATGGAAACAATAACAAATTTCGAAAATTGGAGTCTTTGCGCATAAAAGTAAAACAGGTTAGTACTCTTTACAAACTGGTGGGATTGTAGAACTGGAAGCACACCGGGCCGCAGTTGGTGGAAGGTTTAGTACTAAAGGCTGTCGACTAAGAACGTCCTTCTGCAAACTTTATCATTTTGTCTAAGGAGTTGAAACACGTTGTTAGTGATTAATAGCAGAACCCAAGGGTTGTTCATTGCTAGCGAGAAAGGCACTTGGACCGAGAGGGGGTACATACACAAACGGGGTTGGTGTGTGCCATTCGACGAATACGAGCCTGATTTTGCTATTTGTCATTAGATTACTATACCTAGCACGGTGACTCACCACAGGACCATGCCCAGTTACCCTAATTTTAACTGTTGGTAGTGTTTCACCTAATTCAGAAATAATACTGATCTTTTATTATTATTACTATTATTTTAGTACATTGTGACAAAAGAGATTGAGACAGCGGAACAGTCGTCGAGTCGTCAACGTATAGATCAGGGCACTGAAAATGATGACAACGATCTAATTCAAGATAATGATTTTAACGAATCAGAATCTATAGTACATAGTTGTAAACAAAAAGTCAAGTGTTTTCTATTAAAAAATTATTGTGAGATGCAATCACACCATATCGATGAGGATTCACAGCGTAACCGGCATTGTTTAGCAATGTTAAGGTGGTCGGTGGTTCATTTAGAAATTTTCATAAATGCTGGGTGGGAAAATAACCCAAAAATGATTAATATTTCAACTTTACGAGTCGCACTCGATCTTTTAGCGGCAGTTTTCAAAGAGCATCCCAATGACGAGCTTCGATCTATTGCCACGATATTGCAACTACTTAGACGTCATGGCAAGATTTGTACAAGTGATTACGATATGACTGCAATTCTTTATTTTTTATTCTCAAATCATCCAAGAGATTACTATGACATAGATGTTTTAACTGCGTCTTCAGCAATAACAGAAGTAATTTCATATACAGACACACCAGTTCGTGGTACTGGAAGTAACCCTTCCGAGAACCACGTAATAGCTGAATTGTGGTTAAGGATTTTCTCTACGGCTTTTAAGCTACATAAATTGAGGTTTCTTCCTGTTTTGGAGCTCCAGCACTTAGTTTCAGGTAATGCTGGCCACGGTTCAGCAAGGTCGGGCTTAGCATTGTAAACAACAACAATGACGTACAATTTCCATTTTTCCTTGTAGAGTTCGAACGAAACGAATTTGATGTACATAATAATGAATTGTCATTGTTTCTAGCATATGAGTTTAATCATATACTATCTTCGATGCATTACTCCAGTATGACGAAAATAAATCATTATTGTTTTATGTTTATGGTGATGATGTACTCTCATTTAATTTTCATGAAAGAAATACGGAATCAAATGAAGAAAATGTGTTACGTTTAGTAACATATCTACGAGAAACAGTTTCTGCTGACGGAATGAGAATAAGAACGTTATTTAACAGACATCCAGCACAATTCAACTATAACCTAAAAGTTGCACTACCTATCTTGGCAAGTGAAGCCGTTCGTTCTAGAACATTTGAAATGAAGTTCACACCACCTTCAAAACGGGTTAAGTTTAATATAGTTTTGGAGGATTGAATTGTTTTAGGGAAGTTATTATTAATAAGTAAATTTGATTTTGCCGATATTTTTTTCTACGTTATTTACAGTACATTTAATATTATAATATATATTTTATGTACAAACTTATTAAGAATAAATATAACTCTCTGCTTTTGTTTATTTATTTCTGGCCTTAATTTAGTCTTCTTGCCCAATTACATTTCAATTCCAAAAATTTAGTGATCGACTACTTTTACTTTCCTTATTTGTGATAGTTGAAGCAATATGCAGTCTAATTCAAACCATGAAGATTATTCTGGACTTGAAATATAGAAACTGCAGTCCGATCCTATATTAATGCCCAAAAAATTCTAATGCTAATTAGAAAAAATTTTGGACCGCACTCTGTTTAAAATTGAGTTAAATGTTAATATTAAATATAAAAAGATATTAAATAATAAAAATTATAAATTACACCTGTGATGTTTGCATGACTGAAATATGTAACAATTTTAAAGTTCATTGATGTTAGGTTAACATTTGTATTATAATTAGATATTAGCAAGATATATAGAAACTTTATATTAAAACATGATAAGAAATAATCAATTTTTGGCAAAACAAATACTTGTGTTGATTGGTAATGTTGCATCTGATCTTGACATTTGATTGGTAGTAGGGTACACATTCTGAACTTGCATAGTGTTCAACATCAGACATATAAAAATTCATGTAACATATAAATCAATTTTTAAAATTAAATTTTAATTACGCAGGGGTGAGATTTTGAAAGGTATCTTAAATTAGTCTTAATTGGGCTAAAATTCGAAATAATGTTCATGGGCAAAATCCTGTGAAAATACGGTATAAAAATTTTATAACTTTACATTTTTATGTGAAAAATAATCAGATCTTGAATCTCCCGTTTACACAACAAAATCTGATCTTTAAAGACATTTCAATTAAAAATAAAAAAATTAAATTGAGCTATTCCTTTCATACCGTAATATTAATTTTTATTGATCTTAGACATGGCCTTTCCTCATACTAAATAAGCACTACGGACCATATACATTAAAATAATAGATTTTTAACAACAAAATAATCAAAGCAGCCTTGTCGCTAGCGCCTCTCATGTATTATTCATCACTATTCAGCTCATTCACTCCATTCTCTGTTAAAAAAAACAATAATTTATATTATAATTACTATTCAATATTTAATTAGTATTCGTACCACACTAATATAATTTTTTTTTAAAAAAATTTTAAGCAAAGATATCTTGACAACCGTCTAATCAATTTTAATATAATCTTAATCGAATTTACAAATTCATAGAATTTAACCAAATTTTTTTTTGAATTTAATTAGGATGTAAAAATTCTGCGCAGTTTCTATCTTGATTTTATCACCGTAAAACTTATTCTAGTACCAAAATTTTGCAAGGAATTTTTTTATTAGAACGCGAAAAGTGGTTCATAAGCAAAATTATGAACTATAGCGACTTTTAGAAAATTTGTACACCAATCTTACGATCTGATGGTGATCAGGTGGGTGCGTACAAGAATTCTATTTAGAAATTATATAAATATAAAGACTTAATTTATTAAAATGTGGTTAAATATAATGAAATCGGTCGAAACGGCGAGTCAGTCGCTCCACGATCCAAAATCTCGTGTAACCTACGGTTGGCTTAGTCGGTCCGTAGGTAAGTATTTCTACTTCTTTGCTTGTCTTGAGTTTTTCTGTCTTGAGCTTTTACTAAGTTTATCCTCAATTACCTCACTACTTTGGGTAATTGAACAAAACTTATAACCTCACTATCCTCAGTCTTTCGGGATAATGGAACGATACAACCACGGCTGTCCTGGTACTTTAGGATACAACAGCCGGACGGGAAGGCAACAATACTTTTAGATAGAACAGACAATTACAAGAAGCGGGTTTTTATGGTCTGGGGACTTAGCGATTAGTTAATGTAGCAAGGGAGACGTTTATGTATTTATTATGATGTAAGGGGCCAGT